TTTAATCTTACTAGTCTCGTACTAATATTATAAACTCGAAAGTCTGTGTATGTTTGTTCCTTAATCACGTCAAACGACTGAAGGGATCGGGATGAAATTTGGTACAGGGGTAGATCATCAAACACACAGACATTATAATATTAGTAAGAGTGTATTGTATGCTTTGTAATGAAGCCATATCTTTATATTGTTACCTGCATACTAAATGAATACGGTAGATGCCTAATTTTTATTTTAATGTCCGTCTGGTAGATTATTTTAAATCATTACACACGTATTTTTTATTTTCTTACAGAAACGAATACTTTCGACGATATATTGATTTATTATGTCGCGTGACGTCACTTCTATGTACATTTTATACGTAGAAATGACGTTTTAGCCCCCACTCCTAAACTTTGATTCTTTTTATCTAAGTATTGTTTTATTATACGACAAAATAAAAAATACGTGTGTAATATTTTTTATTTACCTAACTGACGGACTTATTTTTAATTTTCATACCCTGTCATCATCCCAATTGGCTGTATATATTATAGCCAATTTTGAAAAGCGAGTATAATAAAAACCAGATTCATTTTAAATTTTAAAATAAATATTTATTGAGCAATACTTATTATAAAAATATTATTCTTACTAATACAACACTTAATTACGTACCAAATAGGTTTTAACAGAAAAATTTTACTTCAAGATACATTTAGAATTGTATCTATATATATTTTATTAAAGAACTACATCATCAACAGCCCGTATTCGTCCACTGCTGGACATAAGCCTCTCCAATGGCACGCCACTGAGCTCGATCTTCAGCTCTACGCACCCAACCACTACCAGCCACTTTACGTACATCGTCACTCCACCTAGCTGGAGGGCGCCCTAAACTACGTTTGCCTAGACGCGGTCTCCACTCTAGCACACGTTTATCCCAACGGTTATCGGTCCCTCGACAAATGTGATCACGGTCTGATCCCTTCATTGCCATTATAATATTTGTAAGATTGTATTGTATGCTTTGTAATGCAACCATATCTTTTGTAATTCGTGGACTCAGTCGCCAACCAATGGTTACCGTCTCTGTACTGAATCAATCTTTATATTGTTACTGTACCGTCGATCAATATGATGTCGGGAATATTTGTATGGTGGCGGGTAGATGTGGGTAGATAGTTACATTTATTTAATAATCCAGTTTACTGCTAATTCTCGCCTATCATTGACCCTGCAGTTACCTGCATACTGAATGAATTAGCTGTGTATAAAAGCGAGTCGAATAAAAAACTGTTTTATTTAAAAAAATATATTTATTGAGCAATACTTATAATAAAAAATACTATTATTACTAATACAACACTTCATTATGTACCAAATAGGTATTAACACCAAAATTCTATTAAAGAACCACATAAAAATAATAAAAAATCTTTGGCACCAATCTCTGAATGTTATATTTATGTCATTTAATCAAACGAAATATCAGTAAAAGAGAGAAGGCTACCGACACACACCTTTATTCACATTCAATTGTTTTACAAAATCCGCGGGCTCCGCCACGCACATAGATAAGCTATCACCATAGACTATATATGACCATAGAGTATACCACAGATACACAACAATCCCTCTGTGTATGTTTATCTCTGAATATACTTTTTTATTCTCAAGTTCGCGTTAACCCTTTTTTTTAAGGGGGGAAAATCATCGAATGATTGCCAGGCGGGAGCCTGGGTGAGGCGGGAGGGAGTGTCAGACTCTTACTGACTAAAAACCACCCCGTTCCTTCTCCTGCACGTCGAGCCGAAGCCCCGGTTACCCGTTAGGTTCTCCGCGAAGAACGCAAATCTACGCCAGCAAGACAATGTGTTTTCTATTGTGTACTAGCCAACTAGTCAAAGACAATACTTTTTTCGAACTGTCAAAAACGACAGTTATCTACGAATTTTGTAGGTAAGAGATTGTATATTGTGACGTCAAGTTTTAGCGTCAAACAGCGTACTTATTACTTAAAAACTAAAATGAAGTTGGTCATAAATACAATTAATGAAGGTGTGATTATTTTTTAACATTTTATTGTATTGAACAGTCGAAATAATTTATTTTTTATTAAGGCAAGTACTCAATTATGTAGTGTCACAACACGTGCCATATTTGAAAGCTGCCGTGATTGGAAAAAAACGCTACCTATTCATAGCTAGCCCCCATTTCACTACATTAATACTAGATATCTACATACGATACATACATAATAATATGTAAATAAATATTTTATTTTGTATAAATACAATCACAGTCGAAATTTCAATTAATTTTCTAAATGTATTTCATAAGTCCAAAACAAACTATTTTTTATGGAATAGGAGACAAACGAGCATATGGATGACCTGATGGTAAGCGATCAACCAACGCCGCCTATGTACACACGTAACATCAGCAGCTGTAGCCAAATGCCATTTAGCGTTTGTCTACATGTAGAATAAAAAATCAAATTATATGGAACAAGCTTTTACCCGCGGCTTCGCTCGCGTCACAAATGGATAAAAAGTAGCCTATGTGACATATACCGATATACACAGCGCCATCTATACCAATACTTCTGTTTTCCCTCGGTAATAGCTACATATATATACCAATTTTTTGCTTTTGTTTTCCCTCGGTAATATCATATTTTTCCGGGATAAAAAGTACCCTATTATTTAATCCGGACTTCTAACTTTACGTATGCAAAAATTCAAAGCAAACGGTTTAGTAGTTACGGCGTGAAAGCGGAACAAACAAACAAACAAACTAACTCACTTTCCGATTTATAATATTAGTAAGGATTGACGTAAATTTTTACACTTGGCAGTGTCATCATCATACATTTAGTGCTAAAGGCTAAAGGCCCTGGGCATTTAGCCAAACGCCACTTTAGCGCTTGTCTACAGAGAGAGTAGAAATCAAAATGTATGGGGATTACACTGACAAGTGTCAAAATTTACGTCAGTTCCATATAATTTGGTTTTCTATTCTACATGTAGACAAGCGCTAAATGGCATTTGGGTACAGCTGCTGATTTTTTTTTTTTTTTTTTTTTTATAATTGATGGGGCGACGTTTGACCACTATCTCACCTGTTGGTAAGCGATGATGCGGTCTACGTTGGAGCACGTCGTCCCATAAGCAACCTATTCACTCGGGCCTTGAAGACTCCCAGGTTATACCCTTCAGGAAATACAGACTCTGGCAAAGAATTCCACTCTTTAGCAGTACGCACAAGGAAGCTTGAAGCAAAGCGCTTCGTGCGTGTGGGCGGAACATCTACCATGAATCGGTGACGCTTCGCGGATTGTCTTGTGGTACGATGATGGAAAGGACTAGGGGGAATCAAGTTGTGCAATTCCCCCGCACACTCCCCGAAATGTATCCGGTAGAAAACCGAAAGGCTTGCAACCTTACGCCTGTGTTCGAGGCTTTGAAGCCGAGCCTTCACAAGCGCATCATCGTCGATGAGCCTCCTGGCACGCCTCTCAATGTGCTCTAACGCGTCCAGCTGATATTTAGCCGAGCCGTCCCAAAGATGAGAGCAGTACTCCATACAGGACCGAACCTGTGCTTGGTACAGGCTCAGCAATTGTTTCGGCGTGAAGTACCGTCTCACCCTCCAAAGGACACCCAACTTCCTACCAGCCAGTTGCGCTTTTGACTCTATATAGGAGCCAAAGTTGAGCGTGGGCGTCAGAGTTACACCAAGAAGCTCAAGACGATCGGTTATCGGTACGGATACATTCCGGAAAGTAGGAGTCAGCGGAAATTGACTCCGTTTGGCGGAGAATAGACACGCCTGGGTCTTGCTAGCATTGAACCTAACCAAGTTGGCGTCACCCCAGTCGGACACCGCCTTCAAGGTCGAGTTCAAACGTTCGACCATGGATTCTCTTAAAGACTGGATCTGTGTTCCGCTAGTCCGCGCACCGGACACATACCTTTCAACAACTGTGCTGTCATCTGCATACCCAAAGATACCGGGCTTAAGCAGGTCGTTTATGTGCAGCAAAAAGAGCGTCGCTGAAAGTACTGACCCCTGAGGGACGCCGGCATTAATACCGAATTGGTCAGACGAGCAGCCATCGATGACTACTCGTATTGACCGATCCCTCAGAAAGTCTGCTATCCATCTGCACAGACCAGTAGGAAGTCCATATGCAGGAAGCTTGCCGATTAGACTGTCGTGCCATACCCTGTCAAAGGCCTTCGAAATATCGAGGGAGACTGCTAGTGCCTCTCCGTGCCCCTCTATGGCCTCGCTCCATATGTGAGTGGCATACGCAAGAAGGTCCCCAGTCGATCGGTTACGTCGAAACCCGTATTGCCGATCGCTGAGGAGATCGTTACCTTCAAGGTATGCCAGGAGTCTATTGTTAAGAACACGTTCCATGCTCTTGCAGAGTATGGACGTGACCGAAATAGGGCGGTAATTGTTAGGGTCGGCACGACTACCTTTTTTAGGCACAGGCTGTACGTTGGCCAGCTTCCAAGCAACCGGTACTAGACCCGTCTCCAAGGAAAGGCGAAACAGACGTGTCAAGATTGGAGACAACTCAGGCGCACAGGTTTTTAAAACCAGGGCTGGGATTCCGTCGGGACCACTGGCCTTGTTCACGTCCAGATCGCGTAGCGTCCTATATACCTCCCTCTGTCGAATGCGAATTTGCGACATATTCGTCTTGCATACGCTATTAACAGAAGGAGGCAAGGCGCCACCAGTGTCAAGACGCGAAGACTCCGCAAATAGAGAAGCAAATAGATTTGCTTTCTCTACCGCAGTGTGAGCCAGCGTCCCGTCAGACCTCAGGAGCGGAGGAAGTGAGGAGCGACAGAAGTTCGATTCAACCGCCTTGGCCAGGGACCAAAAAGCTTTACTTCCCGCTGGGTAGGAAGCTAGTTTGTTCCCTATACGGCCAATGTGGTTAAATCGAGCCATCCGTAATGCCTTTTTGCATGACTTGGCAGCCCGATTAAAGGCTCTCTTCTTTTGATGAATGTCATCAGCCCTACGGCGCCTGGCATCCGCCCATGCCAAGTATGCCGCCTGCTTTTGCGCTTCGGCACGTCCGCAGTCGATGTGTTACAAGTGCGTAACCGGCCTTTTGGCGATTAGGAATTTGAGGATTGTTGGGGATTTGGGGATTGGGCAGATTGAAGAGGGGGTAATTGGACCAATTAGGACAATGTTTTTATAATAACTATCGTGAGACATACTAAATCAACTAAAAATTGCGGGTTACTCACGTGAAAATTTTAAGTAGGCTGCGCGACATCGCCACGACCGCGCACGCTGCTCATGAGGAAGAACCCCTCTGTGGTTCGAAACTAGTAGAGCTTTTCTCAGTATATTCACGTGAGCGACTCACGATTTTTAGTTAAAACGGACAATTTTCGACAAACTGCATTAGATTGTACAAGATACCTACATAAGATACATAAATATATTCTTTTTTATAAATACAATCACAGTCGAAATTTCAATTAATTTTCTAACATTATACACATTTCATCAGTCAAAAAATGATTTGAGTCAATACTAAGTACTGAATTAATGAAATCGTGCCCGGTATATGGCAATAGGCTCACCCCCTATTACATGGGACACTTAACATAAATAGTGAAAAGTGGGTGTTACTTCTGTGTGCACCTCTGCCTACCCCTTCGGAGATACAAGGCGTGATGTTATGTTATGTTATGGTCACTTATCCCCAATCCAGTACGTCACCCAATCTTCGTTTAACAACCTCACTTTTCTTACAATTTTCTTTGCCATTATTATCCCTAACGATTTTTCGTTTTTTCGGTGATATTTCGAAATTTTCGTTCGCGTCACTATCCTTGTCCGTAAATATAGAACGACGTGACAATTTACAACTGTTTTCTTTTAAATCTTCTGGGAATCCCTTGATTCTTCTTGGTTTTAAATAGTTAATAAAATGGATAAGTTCGTCACGACCGCAGTGCGTCGAATAGCATACTTTTATTCGCTGCAATCCTTCTTTTACTAAAAACTTTTCGTCTAAATTTGGTGACGTCCAGCTTAATGCAGAGAACACTACATCTAGTGTGTGTTCCGGAATTCGTTCTTTATTCTTTTTCCTGAGTGCGATCCTTGATTCTTCATTTGTGACGCCATATATTTGTTTTGGAAATTGTCTGTAAATAAAAGTGTAAATTATAAGTGTTGGAGAGCCATGCTTCGGCAGAAATGGGCCGGCTTAACCGGAGTTACCACGGCCGAGCAGGAAACCGACGTGAAACAACTGAAGCGTTCTGTTTCGTCGCGTGAGTGAGATTACCGGAGGCCCAATTACCCTACCTTTCGCCAATCTCCCCAATCTCTGAATCCCCAACGATCCTCAAACTCCTAATCCCCAAAAGGCCGGTAACGCACTTGTAACGCCTCTGGTGTTCGACTGTTTGTCAGTGGTGTCTAGATAATCTTAGAAAGTACATATAACTCTGAGAACGTCACATTGGTACTTGCCGTTGGTGGGTTTCGAAACCGTAATCTCATTTATTTATTTACACTTTATTGTACACCATAAAAACATACATAGAAAAGAAATATAAAAGAATGTGTACAATGGGCGGTCTTATCGCAGAATGCGATTTCTTCCAGACAACCTTTGGATGGAGCCAGTATTCAGGAGTTGGAAAAAGGGGGTCGTCTAGTGTACAATAATTAAAACAATACATACAGTATAATACTATCTATACCTACATACAAAATAAATAATATATGTATAAAATTAAAATAGATGTAACTACTATACATAAGTGACTGTGTGTGTAGATGTGTCTGTGTGTGAGCGCGCGCGTGTGTGTCTGTGTGTGTGTGTGTGTGTGTGTGTGTTTATGTACGAGAAGCGGGTCTTCGGAAGTCTTATACCACCTTGCGAACACGACACAGAAGATAATAATTTAACATTCTTACCTATAAATCGCCCAATCGTCTTCATTAACATTAGCTTTGATTTTAATTTCGTCATATATTTGATTGCAAGCTCCTTCGTAGCCAAACATGGCCGATACACTTAGAACAACCTTGTTCTTTTCGTTTTCCGCCAACCACTTGCTGATATGCGGTATCAAGTTACTAACCACTTCTGATCGCTTCGGGATGTAGGGCTTGTCCTGAGGAAGAAATAAATTACATAACATAACATCACACCTTTTATCCCCAAAGTCGGCAGAGGTGCACATTATGCCACTGTACAATGTAACACTCACTTTTCACTATTTATGTTACGAGTCCCATGTAATAGGGGGTAAGCCTATTGCCATATACCGGGCGCAATTTCAGACTCCGTGCTACTACTGAGAAATTTTTAAAACCCTATAATACTTTACTCGGCCCGGGAATCGAACCCGAGACCCCTCGCCTGGCAGTCGCACTTGCGACCACTCGGCCATCGAGGCAGTCATAATATAATTAAAAATAGAAAGGACAAAGTATTACTGGATTTAAAAAAAAATCTCAGTCGTAGCACGGAGTCTGGAAATGTGCCCGGTATATGGCAATAGATTCACCCCCTATGGGATGGACATGGAACTCATAACATAAATAGTGAAAAGTAGGTGTTATAATCTACAATGGCATTAAGTGTCGTAATATGCATCTCTGTCTAACCTTCGGTAAACAACTGTGATGTTATAATGTTATGATGACATTTTTGGGTATTGTCCTTTATTCATTGGATTTTTGACCGTATATCAATACACTAAAGTTGAAGATGTAATAGAGAAAGTCAGAAAAGGATAGGTTAACCATCGACATATTATACTAATAAACATGCCTTAGAGATGAGAATTGTGGCACTCCGAAAGAAAGAGAGGAAATGAAGTTTCGGTCTATCTTCATCTCTCTTAAAATAGTACTGTAGTTAAGACGTTATGAGCGAGAAAGAGACAGCGCTAGACCGAAAGCATAGGCTATCTCTCTCACTCTTTTCAAACCAGAAAATTACTGCAGATTATATGCGTACGGCATGTCCATTAGTATATTATGTCGATGACATATCCTTACTATTATAAATGGGAAAGTGAGTTTGTTTTTTCCGCTTTCACGCCGTAACTTCTGAACCGATTGCTCTGAATTTTTGCAGACATTAAGTTAGAAGTCCGGATTAAATAATAAGGTACTTTTTATCCCGGAGAAATTTGATATTCCCGAGGGAAAACAAAAGTATATGTCACATAGGATACTTTTATCCTTTTGTGACGCGAGCGAAGCCGCGGGTAAAAGCTAGTTATGCATATACTAATGGACACTTTGTACGGTTAACTTGAAAGAGGTTAACTTGCTGGCCATCATAAAAGAATTATACTATGACAAAATTATTCAAGTCATATACTGGACATTATACTTACTTGGAAAGTAGTATCAACATATAGAGCATCAATTTGTATCGGTTCCCCATTATTTTGCAAATGTTTATACTTGGCAACATCGTTCTTCGATATTCTGAAGTCGCCAGTGAACAAAATCTTTTGGTTTTCATATTCAAATAGGTACATTACAGAACCTAACGAGTGTCCCGCTGGCAATACTGTAACTTCTAGAAATTCTTCTTTATCCCTGGTTGGTATTGATAATGCATTGCGACCTGTAATTAGAATAATAATAATCTATATAATTATATGCCTATATAGTTATATGACTACCACATTGGCCGAGTGATTGCAAGTGGGACTGTCGGGCAAGGGGTCTCGGGTTTGATTCCCGGGTCAGGCAAAGTATTTCTGGGTTTTTAAAAAATCTCCGTAGCAGCACATAGGCTGGTAGTGTGCCCGGTATTTGGCAATAGGCACACCCCCTATTCCATGGGACACATAACATAAATAGTGAAAAGTGAGTGTTACATTGTACAGTGGCACTAAGTCCCATAAAAGCAACCTTTCTGCGATGCACCTTTGTATAATGGTATGCCATAAAACAAAATATTACTCTACGAAAACAAGAGCCGAGTAGGTGAAATTATATATATATTTTTTTAAAAACGTTGCCCTACATTAGGGTTTTCTCCTGTGTCGTGGGTGCGTTTACAAACATACAAGTTCACATACACAATGACACCCAGACCCGAAACAACAATTTGTGGATCACACAAAGTGTTGTTCCGTGCGGGAATCGAACCCGCGACACGTTGCACGGCAGCCGGTTGCCCAGCCACCGCACCAACCGTGCAGTCATGTAGACATAGCTAGTTTCGCATAAGGCAACATCAACTGCCAATAAGAGTCTAATACTAGACTGGAGACTGCATTAAAATGTTATACAAAAGCTAATTTCATTCATTCATCAGTTCTTGCGGCAGATTTATTAACACTAGCACTGTGAAACGTCACTATCACTACATAGTAAAGTCGCTTTCTCTGTCCCTATGTCCCTTTGTATGCTTAAATCTTTGAAACTGCTTAAATTTTTTTTTAATAGATAGAGTGATTCAAGAGGCAGGTTTATATGTATAATACATGCATATTGCACCCGTGCGAAGCCGGGGCGGGTCGCTAGTAAAGCATAGAGCATAGTCATTTTCCGTTGCACGCGTGTCTTAATGCTTAGATTTTGAAAATTACGCTACAGATTTAGACTTTGGACTTCTTTTAATAGAATGATTTAGAGTGAACGTTTTTATACGTAATCTAACGCTGGCTTTAGAATATTATGAAAAATCAACTTACCAAGTCTCAAACTTCTCAAATGCGGCGTCAAGTGCGGGTACCTCGCTGTTATAATTGCAACAGTCACCTCAGAAGTGTAGATATATATGTTCTTTCTTTTTAAGAGTCTTAGCAAACTTAAATCGTCAATGCCACAGATATGGTCGCCGTGAAAATGTGTTAAGAAATATGCATATATGTAGCCCCAATCTTTGAAATTATCAATGCATATAAACCTTATTTCGTTTAAATGTCCACCAAAAGCAGGCTTCATGGTTTATAAATTGGTATTTTCGAGTGCTCTTGTGCAAGTTTGTTTTTGCATTAAAAATGTCTCAGAGTCGTTTGAATTACGGATCAATTATTGTGTATAATATACACTAATTCACTGTAAAACGTTAATCGTTTCCATAAATGCGCAGAAATTATTATCTATGTCTTCAATTTATTACAATCACAATTTCACAATACAAAAGTTCGACAACAAGAAGCAATCAAATCAACACAATCTGTCCGTTTGACATTTTACAGGAATGACAGTTGTCAGATACGATACCAGTGATACCAGCTTTTAAATGTGATGTTCCTACATTAGTGTACAGTGGGTAATTTTCCGGACCAATTAGAGACACTACACAAAATGAAAAAATCTTTTGGATAAATACTCGAGTAAAAACGGATAAAGACTCTATATTTGCTCGTTAATTACCCATTCTTTACTCGAAAATTGGCCATATATTTTCACAGGAACAAATGATATTTTAATTCTAAGAATTATCATGATAACCACTATCATGTTTTTATAACAACTATCGGGAGACATAGGTACTAAATAACAATTTTAATTATTTTTTTCGACTGGAAGAAAATTTATTTAATATAATACTACTTTGCATAGAGCAACACGGAGGGGAGTAGCCATTGCGTTATAAACCGATACAAAACCATAGTATAAAGAACTGACTAAAAAACTGTCTGTCATTTTTTGCGGGGGGAAATCACACATTCTCAAATTCTCACACAAAAACATTCTATGTCACTACGAAACTCACACTATGACAATTGAAAAATACACTGACAATTTCACACACACATTTAAACAATCCCTGTCGTAATAGTGTAATAATATGACGCAACTACACTTACACCCGCAGTTGTAACAATTATCGATACGCATTATCGATAAATTCAAGAACTCCGTTAAGGAAATAAGCTTTAAAAATTTATTCAAAGACAGATATTATTATTATTCACTTTAATTATTATACCATTTTTTTACCTAATTAATTATTATAGCCCTAAGTACCTACTACTACAATAATCAGACAAGATAAAAATAACAAATAAAATTTTCATTTTTTTAAATAAATTAAATTACTAATCCCATTTAAAAACCAGCGATGAAATACTGATACGGAACTATCACTGGTTTTTAAAATAGATTAATTTTCTTTAGATATGACGAATACATTTTTGGGGGTTTGTTTTTTTCAATAAGTTAGAAATTATTGTATCAGTATATTTTTGCATTATTAATCTTGCTAATACATCTTGATATGAGCAAATGGCAATATTTCTTGTGGGAATCCAGGTTGGTCTGTTATGACAAAATGTCTTACATATATCTCTTAAATTTGGATCTTAAGGAAATCTGCAATAAATAAATAAAATAATAATAATAATAAATATAGTTGAAGTTCTCACTCAGTATTTTTTATTTAAATCAGAAAACTTAATCCCAAAAAATCTCACATTTGACTTCAGCTTTTACATTTTTATCGATAACTATCTACAAACAAACCGGCAACAACGCTATCGCTCGGCGACAGCGAATTCTAGGAAAAAAACTCGGATCTGTCGCTCGACCGATCCGCGTTTTGTATGAGGACGCACGGATTTGTTGGTAAACAAATCCGAAACAAGACGATTGATAATATTGTAGTTTTTTTAAGTTTATAAGAAGTAAATAGCAATAATATGATTAAAAATTACTTAATATGAAAGGTAACACCATGTTTTTGTAAATTTGACGTGGCAGATCTCTTTTTGCAGCAAAAAACAGAACAATTCGGCATTTTTACGACGCCGTCGATTCACTAACGCAACTAGATTTAGTCTGGTGAGCAGTTGAGTTGCAACTAGTTTTATTGTACGCATAGGACCATTTGGACTTATACTTTGACAGAGGGGAACGCCTGCGTATGGCTACTCCCCTCCGGTCCGCCGGTGGCCCGTGTTGCTCTATGCTACTTTGCGACTATTACTATGTACAACTTAAAATGTAAAAAAAATAATTTAAAACTAAAATATTTACACCTTAAAAAAAATATATATATCATATATGGCATCAAACCGTGAGGTCCATTGGTTGGTTCATTGGAGCCGGCCAATCAGAGCGCCGGACGAGGTTTCGTTTCGATTAGGTACTTTAAACGAAAAGGAAACTCGTCCCTACCTAAGCCCTCTGACGCACTTGTCTAGACAAAGGGTATCCACGAGGATTTCTACATTTAAAAATAAAAGGTTCCCATTCAGTAACCCGACACTCGGCCATGATGAATTAGCTTGCTTTATGGTAAATACAAAATTGATATTTACCAAGAAATATGTAGGAAGTACGTATCATTTTAATCAGACTTTAATTGTTATTTAAAATGGGAAAATTTTCATTAGGTATTTTTACACTTTGATAGGTCTTATAATAATGTTTATAAATTACTATTAAATTGTTAATTAGGGTTAGTTATAGTTTCAATTGCGCACTTGCCTTAATCAAAAATAATTCTTTCAACTGTTCAATACAATAAAGTATTAAATAAAAATCACACTTTTATTATTTGATTTTATGACCAACTTAATTTTAGTATTTTTCCAGCATATTTTTTAAGAAATAAGTATACTCTTTGACGCTAAAAAACGTGACGTCACAATACACATTCGCGTACAAAATTCATAGAAAACTATCTAAGAAAACCCAGTAATAATTGCCCGACCTGGGAATCGAACCCGAGGCCCCATGCCCGACAGTTGCACTTGCGACAACTAGGCCAATGAGGCAAATGGAAAATGGAAAATGACCATTCGGATCGCACGAGGATACCGAACGGTGTCCTTTGAGGCGGCAACTCTACTGGCTCGTTTTCCACCATTGGATATCCTGGCAGATATGGACGCGAAGGTCTATGACCAAATTCGCTCTATCTGCCAAAACAGCGGAAGGACGCCAGAATCGGTGTTCGTTAGGCTGAGGCGGCGGGAAAGGCGACACGCGCTTGAGCAGTGGCGTGAGCGGATACAACGGCCGGAATAATCACGCAACTGCGTCGTTGAAGCCAGCCTTCAGGCTCACTCAAGTGCTGACCGGACATGGTTGCTTCGGTGAATACCTGAACAAGATTGGGCGAGAGGCTACAACAAATTGCCACCATTGCGGAAGCAACTTGGATTCCGCACAGCACACGCTTGAGGAGTGCCCAGCGTGGGCCTCAGAGTGGCGGGTCCTGGTTGCCAGGATCGGGCGAGACCTGTCTCTGCCAGCAGTAGTTACGGCTATGCTGGCAGAGACAGAAAATTGAAGGGAATGCTTCGGCACGAATGGGCCGGCTGGCGACAGACGTGAAACAAAGCTTGCGTTATGTTTCGTCAGATTATCAGAGGTCCAATTACCCCCCTCCCCAGTCTCCCCAATCCCCGAATCCCCCATAATCCTCAAATTCCCAATTCCGAAACGGCCGGAAACGCACTTGTAACGCCTTGTTTCAGGTGTCCATTGCTTACCATCAGGTGATCCGTCTGCTCGTTTACCGGCTTATGCCATAAAAATGTGGACTTATTAGATTTTTAATTTTCATACCCTGGCAACTACCAATAGGGCCTCCGGTTGTATCTATTATCTACTATAATAGCTCTTTTTTAAGGGGGGAAAGTCATCGAATGACTACTCCCGCTTGGGTGAGGCGGGATGTGTTAGACTCTTACTGACTAAAAACTACCCAGTTTCTTCTCCTGCACGTCGAGCCGGAGCCCCGGTTACCCGTTAGGTTCTCCGCGACTGCGAATCGGCATCAGCCCTGTTGGGCCCCATCCGTGGTGGTTTGATGGCTCTTTGAGGCGCGCGCGGAACGCGACGCGCGCTACGCTCGGGTCAAACGGGGAGCCACCCGTACTCGCCGTCCGCAGGCTTGCGCAGCGCTTTGCTGCCTCACGCGTCCCGCCTCCTCCTTAGCTAGCATACTATAATAGCTCTGAGAGGATACATTAAAACAAGGTTTTACGAACGCCTTTTTCAGCGTGAGAATCTTTATTGTTTTATTCTATATTTCGCATCTGCTTCGCTTGAGACTTATCGTATTCTTCTTTTGCGGCGCGATATATAACTGCAGCCTCTTTTGTGAACTTATCCATGTATTTATGCACTGATTTCGATTGCAAAAGATTTTTTAAAACATTTATTATTGATTTAGAATTAATTTCGAACATGACTGACGGCTTGTCGCTGCTACGGAAGTGTATTATCTCCGGTTCTGCAAGTAGACAGATAATTAAGAAGTTTTTGATGAATATAATCGGGGTTTGCCTCGTTGGCCGAGTGGTCGCAAGTGCGACTGCTGCGATTACCGGGTCCAGCAAAGTATTACTGAGTTTAAAAAAATGTCAGTAGTAGCACGGAGTCTGGAATTGTGCCCGGTATATGGCAATAGACTCACCCCTTATTACATGGGACTCATAACATAAATAGTGAAAAGTGGGTGTTACATTGTACAGTGGCATAATGTGCACCTCTGCCTACCCCTTCGCGGATAAAAGGCGTGATGTTATGTATGTATGTATAATCGGGGTTTCTGTTTTTTTCCGCTTCTTTGGCAAACGCGTCTCCAAAACGAATCGGGGCTTCTGTTTTTTGCTCACTATTGGCTATGTGCGCGACGGTGGCGACGCGTAGCGTTTACAGCATTTGTGGAAGCTGTCAAATAATAACAATGTAAACATTATAAATTTTTTGCAAATATAAATAAAACCAAAGATTAAAATAGTATTGTTCACATTTTTTAAGTGCAATTTATTCAATAGTTTTACTGTAAAATGAATATAATAATAAAAACCGGGTTTGCATCATCCGCATTTGTTTCCAATTTCTGCCGTGTTGTGCGCTGCGGTCGTTATCTGTCCGCCACTACTCGCTTTGCACATAGCCAATATTACAGTATTCTAGCACAAGATCTCTTTGTCCAATCACTACCCCTGTCTGATATTGAACGCCCAATCATGTCAGACTAGCAAATTGAGTACTTTCCTTAATCAAAAATAAATTATATCGACTGTTCAATACAATAAAACATTAAAAAATAATCACACTTTCATCAATTGATTTTATGACCAACTTAATTTTAGTATTTTTCCAGCAATTTTTTAAGAAATAAGTATGCTGTTTGACCCTGAAAAGCCGTGACGTCACAATACATAATTGCATCCAAAATTCATAGAAAACTGTCTAAGAAAACCCAGTAATAATTGCCCGACCTGGGAACTGGAGACCCCTTGCCCGACTCGGCCAATGATGCAGTCAATAAATACTTACTAATATTATAGTCTTGTCCAGCAGTTCCAGATCGTTTGTAAACAGGTTTATCGCTATTTTTGGCAAATTTCAATAATTGCTTCGCAATATCGTCAACAACGCCAGGTTTCGTTTTTCCCGCCATAAAGTTTTTGACACCTGTGTCTATGGCTAGAACGACGCTCTCCAAGGAGTTTTCCTTAGATGAATCTATGGTATCACTTGATTTTCTAGTTGATTTTTGTTTTTGTGAGTATTCGCTTATTTTCGGGTATGTAGGCGTATTTGGCCTGGCTGTGGCCATTTCTGATAAGATGAGTCCTGGAAATTTACATTTAGAATATCTATACAAGGTGTAGTTTCGAAGCCGTGTCATTTCTCGGGGGCATGTCACAGAAATCATAAAGGTTCAGTGTAAGAGAAAGTTTCGGGCCAATAGTTAAAATACGGCTATAATAAATCGTTTAAGTTCGACAGTATTTCGGAATAAGCGACAGCAATGTTTCTTATTGGAGTTTTATGGAATTAGAAATATATCAATTACGTGTTTGAGTTTGTGCGTTAAGCCGCGTTATAAAGCTAGTTATAAGACGGCGGCGTGTATTTCGCACTTACGGATTTCCGTAATTTACATAAAAATGAAAAATATTTACCTACAATTTTTTTTATTGATTCGTACTCAAAATCGATAGCCGCGTTACCTCCTAGAAAATGACAAGGCTAATCAACACCTTGTATAAATAAAAATGAATTTTCATTCGTAAGTTTCGTTAAAACTCGCGAACGGGTGGATCGATTTGGCTAATTTGCATCTTCAAATGTTTGTGGTAGTCCAGGGAAGATTTAAAAGGTGATAAAAAATGTTTTAAGCTGTACGAAGTTTGCCGGGTCAACTAGTTATCTGTAGAGACACAATGTACACGTCACGCTATGTCAGCAACTATACAATAACGCGCGGCTGCGCCCGCGATGCATGTATCATCCAGTCGCAAATAAACCACGATCGGAAATAGTCGTTTCCATTAACCTCACCCCAACACATAGTAGAACACGACCTACACTACCCCAAGTTAGTGATTGTGAGCTAAGACCCTAAAATCTAATAAGAATATACTAGGCACCACAATAGCGCTTTTTGACTAACCTTAATCTTTTAAACTGCGATTTCTAAATAGCCTGTCAAGTCGAGATATTAACAAAACCCTCTCATGTAGAGGAGGCTCATAGTCACTCGGTGTAGATTAATGAGCTTTCGATAACCGAAAACTGGGTAGTTTCCAGGGTATCAAAATTAAAAATCTAATTAGTCCGTTAGTCAGATGATGAAAGAATATTAGACACGTATTTTTTTATTTTCTCGTATTAACTCGCAATGCTTAGATTTAATGGCGCTCAGTTTAGGAGTGGGAGGTCGTTACGTCATAACGTGCTACAAAATGTGGCACGCTGTGACGTCAAACGATATTTCAAATTAATATATCGTCGAAAGTATTCAATTTTGTGAGAAAACAAAAAAATACGTGTTTAAAGTTGTAAAGCTAGTTGTAAATCGTGTTTAAAGAATCTACCAGACGGACATTACAATCAAATTTAGGTAACTACCCTTTTAGACAATAATTTGGCCCCACTTGGGAATCGAACCTAGGTTCCTTCATTCAGTAGTTTGGCCTCGCTTAGAAATCGAGCCTAAGTCCAGTAGTCAGATACCCTGCCAACGGGACATATTCATTTTTAAATTCAAAATTATGTTGTATTATATTAGATAAAAATTTATAGTTACCGAGAAATATGCAGTAAACGCGTATCATTTTCAAACCTTTATGGTGATTAAAATGAAAAAAAAATCCATTATTATGAACGTACAATTAGGCAATAAATTGTCATTAAATTATTAATTAACAAACATAATTATTATTTGCTTAATTCAAATTTAAATTACCTACCCATAAACATACCTATAAACGTACTATATGCCATACGTACCATAAATGTACTATATGCTCGTAAAGATAAAGTCTGAATAAAACCAACGGACAGGCCCAATAACCCGGGGCCACGGGGACATAGAGTGGAGACTCTAGGACCCAGTGGCCTCAAGGAAGATGGTGGCATAGTGGTCACATGCCGCCGTGTACAACGAGATACAAGGGAAATTCCCGTCTCCCTAAGGGATTTGCCGTAATAGGCGTTGCACTCTAGGAGCTCCGGAGCACGTCTATGATAGGTTAATAAGAAGGCGGGGTGCGTGAAGCAGCGAATCGCTGGCCCTTCACAACCCAGCCGCCCCGAAGTACACTCCGGGTGTCAGAGATCGCGGGACGATCTCCGGCCACCGTAACCAGAACTAAACCTGAGCATACGGCGCGTCGCGTTCCGTTTACGTTTCCATCAGACCAAAAGGGCTGATGCCGATATGGAGCCGCAGAGAACTTAAAAGGTTGGGGCTCTGGCTCGAGTACAGGAGTAGGAACAGGGTGGTGCTTAGTCAGTAAGAGTCTGACACTCCCTCCCGCCTCACTCGGGCGGGAGAAGACAGTCGATGATTTCCCCCCTTAAAAAAATGGTCTATGAAAGGACCAGTTGCGTTACAGGTGCGAATGGTGGCCACCGGCGTGTTTTTAGTGAGTTAAAAATCCCAGTCTCTAGTCTTTTATCACCTAAAAGCTACGCGCCTTTTTAAGGTTTCCCCCGTCATAAAAAGGCCCAATTACCTATTTATTTGAGGCCTTAGGACCTACGAGTTTGTTATATGTTTAAAAGGTAAAAGGGTAAAGCTATAACTACATAATTTAAGGATAAATGCTAATCAAGGATGTTTGTTAAATGAAAAAGGTAAACATATTGTTTATTTGTATTAATTAAATACAATTAAGTAATTATATTATACATTATATGTTTATTATTATTATGTAGTTACCGGGAAATGGGATCGTACGTACGGGAAAATTGTCGTAATTAGATCATCTACGGAAAACCCATGTGACGATCTTTGTTAGGGCTGTCTAAGGTCCCTTTTCACCAACGAAACTGATCACGATTACACCTAACAAAACTGATTTAAAGCGTCTAATCGAATTTAAAGCGTTTAAACGAAGTTACAGCTTCATTTTACATTTCACCGCTACAAACAGAAACTAGTTTACACGGAACTCAGTACAGAAAACAAAGAACACAGAACTTAGGTTACTTTAAACTTAGGTTACGTGTAACTGAGTTTTTACAGAGCTTGGTGAAAAGGGACCTTAGTAATAAACTTTGATTTTTTCTATGTTACTCTAATGTCCTGCGTCCGTCCGTCCGTCCGGTCCATTATCAACATTAGCCTGTCAACGTTAGAAATACGTCGCAACTTTTCATGGGAAATGTAGGATACCGACCAATGCACAGGTTGGTACTTGTCAAAAAAAGTTTGGAACAATAGAGGTCGTTAGTATCGTACCTGTGGCAACCTGGTACACTACGACTCAATCAGTTTTGATATTTGTTATTTTTATCGAGTTTAAAAAGAGGAGGAGTCTTTATTCGGATGAGTCTATTCATGGGATGTGGTCCGAAGTGGGTGATTCAGTCCAAGTCAATATTAGTTGCTGCTGTCACCGCGTCAAACTGTCATTTGCGGAGTTGTACTTATAGTTCGGTTTTACCTCGGTGGAAGGAAAAATGTTTTTTTTTTATAAGGGGAATATTAAAAAAAGAAAAAAGAGAAAGATCTTGGTGCAAAAGGTACCCGATCGTCCTTAATCGGGACTCTAACTCCCTAAGTCTTATTACACCACTCTTAGTGAGGGTTTTTTTAAGGGGGGAAAATCAACGAATGACTGCTCCCGCCTGGGTGAGGCGGGAGGGAGTGTCAGACTCCTACTGACTAAAAACCACCCCGTTCCTTCTCCTGCACGTCGAGTCGGAGCCCCGGTAACCTGTTAGGTTCTCCGCGACTCCGAATCGGCATCGGCCCTTTGGGCCCCATCTGTGGTGGTCTGATGGCTCTTTGAGGCGCGCGCAGAACGCGACGCGCCGTACGCTCGGGTAAGGAAAAAGGTTAGGGTTGCCCCAGTACCATAATGTTCATTCGACAACCCTAATTATCTGAAATGGTATAACTATGACTAAACGAGGTAAGAGAATACAGAAGTAAAATTCAATATAAAAGTACAGAACTCAAGCGAAGTCCATTCAGTAAAGTTTTAAACTTTGTTTTGACACTTATTTGACATTTGGAAAAAAATCCAAAATGGCGAAGCTTTTGTTCTTAATTGTCGTCGCTGTGGCAACCGTGGCTTTTGCATCGGAAGAGAAGAAGTACAAATGTGATTATCAATTCGGTTAGTATTTCTATTTTACTAGTTTTTAATTTATTTTGTCGTGGGTAAGGCAATGAAAAAAGGGAGCAAAAAAAATTAAAAAACTCTATTTCACGCAAAGAAACAAGTGACATGTACAAATAAGTCATTGCATTAGTAGGTACTGATGGATGTCCCAAGTCTGCCGCGGTAATGGGACCAGTTCAGCATGTCCAAGATAGGGCCTGCTTCAGCACTAATGGGTCGGCTAGAAAGGAGTGATACCACGGCCTGACAAAAAAATCAATGTGAAACAATGCTTAGGTTTATTTTTTTCCATCTGAGTAGGTAAGGTTATCGGATACCCAATCCCCCCTCCATCACCAAAAAACCGGGTTCAAGCTATAAAAAAAAATTAATGGTCCAATGGTCAAAGGCAGATGTCCCCTCTGTACTGTCTGCCACTCCCACAGGTACTAGTAGCAGGATTTTTATGGCATTAGCCGGTAAACGAGCAGACGGATCACCTGATGGTAAGCAATCGGCCCGCCCATAGACACCTGTAACACCAAGGCGTTGGATTGTGGAGGATTCGGGGATTGAGGAGATTGGGAAGGAGGCGTAATTGGGCCTCCGGTAACCTCACTCGGTCAGTTTTCTATGAGGCCGTGCCACACCGGTCGAACCGGCCCATTCGTGCCGAAGCATGGCTCTCCCACACTAACAAAATGTATGGTTTTATACATATAAATGTACACCTGCAATAGGATAGATGCCTAATTTTTATTTTAATGTCCGTCTGGTAGATTATTTTAAATCATTAGACACGTATTTTTTACTTTCATACAGAAACGAATACTTTCGACGATATATAGATTTGAAATGTCGCGTGACGTCACTTCTATGTACATTTTATACGTAGTAATGACGTTTTAGCCCTCCACTCCAAGACTGATTCGTTTTATCCAAGTATTGTTTTATTATACGACAAAATAAAAAAATATGTCTATTATTTTTTCATTGTCTAACCTACGGACTAATTAGATTTTTAATTTTCATACCCTGTCATCATCCCTATTATTGATTGACACTTTGCAGGTGACCCAACATGGAACTTCACGAAGGAGTATTATAATGTAGACCATACACTGCGAAGGGGTAGCAATCACGCAGAGACCATAATCCCAGTAAGTAACCTTCTCTATACCTCGTTAGCCGAGTCGCAAATGTGGCCGGGCAAGGGTTCTCGGGTTCGATCAGATCGGTTAGATCTTTAAAACTACGCAACGGATTTTGATGCAGTTTTTTTAATAGATAAAGTGATTCTTGAGGAAGGTTTATATGTATAATACATGCATAGTGCACTTGTGCGAAGCCGGGGCGGGTCGCTAGTTTTTTTTTTATATTTCATTATTTTGTTAACGTTCAAAAGTGCCTTCCTGGTCTAATTGAAATAAATAATTTTGACTTTGACTTTGAACTGTAGGAGTAGGAACGGAGTGGTTTTTAGTCAGTAAGAGTCACTGTAAGATTTAGGTGCTGTACAAAAATCCTAACTAAATGTATTTTCTTTACATTTCCAGCTGGATGAAGGCTACATGATTAGTTTTGTGTGCGTGACGATACCAGGAGTCAACAAGGCTACAACTAGAGTCTCTTTCTCATCGCTGCATCATAAAATATCCATCGATTTAACCGAGAAAGCTACTAAAGATGTACCTTACCATGTCTTAGCAAAGAGGCATGGATATTAAGCATGGGGTAGTAATAAAAGCTCCGACAAGAAAAGAAGAATTGTCCTTACTGAAAATATTAAATCTACTGCCTAAAATACTAACTTTCCGACTACTTTACATGACTGTTTATTGCTACAATACTAACCTAACCTAACCTAAAACGTCTGTTGTCGGTAACTTAGTAATTTTGTCGGAGGTTCAATATTCTATTCGGAAGTTTAGTTTTGTTATTCGAAGATCCATTTTTATAGTCGGCCACAGATCGCTAGAGATTAATTTGTTTTTCGGAACCATTATTATTTTCCTTAAACATGGATGAAGTAAAAAAATAATTGTGTACTTGCCAACTTTTGCTTGCTTTAATTCAATATTTTTTTTTAACTGTCAAAAACGACAGTTATCTATGAATTTTGTACGAGATTGTGTGTTGTGACGTCACGTTTTTTAGCGTCAAACTACAAACTTATTTCTTAAAAAATGCTGGAAAAATACTAAAATTATGTTGGTCATAAAGTAAATTTATGAAAGTGTGATTATTTTTTTTAAATATTTTATTGTTGTATTGAACAGTCGAAATAATTTATTTTTGATAAAGGTAAGTATCAATTAATAATAGAAAAGAAGTACTCTGTAGGGTTTGCCTACAAGAGTGTCGAATTTCAGTAAGAAACATAAAAATTGTAACACGGCAATTCGATTTCCGTTTGTGTAGGCAACGTCACATCCCTATTTCATTCCCCCGCTGACTAAACTGACCACTGACCGCTCAGCGCTTGCGTAGGAGCGTATTAACGTCACGA